ATGGAAAACATAATAGCCAGGAGGTTGATTATCCAACTTGAAATACTTAAGCTATTACCCCACAGACTCGGAGGATACAGATAAAACACGTAAACATGAGGTAACTCTGCCTTCTTTATGCACGATACATATGAAAGTGTTTGAGCCGAAGCTGAAACATGTTCAGTCGCCATAGATCTGGAAGACGCGCACAACAAAGTTCCATTGCACCAGCTAGTGTGTCAACCAATGTAATTCAATATCCCTGCAGGTTTCATTCCACTGATGTCTGCCGCACTGTTCCAGAGGATGGTGGTGCTGCGATTTGATAGTTGATCTTCTAAGCCATAACAGTAAGCCCAGATTTATTATTTGGCTCTCAATTGTCTCTAATTCTCTTCAACATCTACCCAGTCAAGATCACAGAGGACAACTGAGTGGCAGAGAAAGAATTCTATCATAAGTGAATGACATCTTAGTATACCCAAAACAGGGCAGGAACAGAGCTGTCGGCGTTTCGGATCTACAACAAGAAATCGATCGTTTATCATCCTGGTGCAATATCTCTAGAACGCCAAGTAGTCCATCCAAAGCGGCAACTGTCACCTGGCTTTCATCAGATAGTGCCTCTTGAAAAACACCAATGCCTATGGTAAAACTCTGTAGCGCTGACGTTGACAAATCTATTCCATAAAATACCCGAGAACAGACATTTAATAGACGCCTAAAATTAAAAACAACACGTAGACCTCCAGTATATGAAATAAAAGCCAAGCAAGTCTTAGGCTCGAATAAAGCCTCTATTTTTAGAATTAGATCCTGGATTCCAAGTCCACCTAGCCTAAATATGATCCAGATTGCGTCCTTTAAATGTTGACCGCATCCCCCACAGAGGCCGATGTTTAAAAAAAAAAAATTAAGTCTAACAAAACCTGCCCGAATCGCTTTTCACGTAAAAAGGGTTCTTTATCACTCTTCACTTTGCTTCCCCCACCGAGTGAGCAGTGGTCACCGTAATACGCAGCACCACACAAGCAGCGAATCAGAACGTGAAAATATTATTCTTGGATGCCCTAGAAATATCTCCTGTCTATGTATTTTGTTTTAGCTTAAAATTAAAACAGACGTCCCTATAAAAGCAGAAAATCACCATTTATATATTACAAGAAAAGTAAGTACCCTAGCAACAGATAGTTATCGGTATTCATAGATGGCTTAGGAAAGAAAAATTTAGGACTACTTGGGGGAAGAAGGAATCCATACTGACTGGACAAATAGTGCCATAAAATAATGCAATCATCTCCTCCTCATCATCATCATGTGCCTTTCCAACTGGCGTAGGCGCTCATGCTTCTCCACATATCACGATCCCTGGTTGCCTGAAACAACTCTCTTGATGATATAAATCGTTTCAGCCCATCTAACATCATCTCTCTTGGTCGACCTCTACCCCCTTTTCCATTGATCTTTCCAGTTGTTACGATGTTCTCTAATGTCTCTCTTTTCATTATGTGACCAAAGAACGGTGTTTGTATTTTTCTTATTGTTATATGTTCTTTCAAGCAATCGTTGCTAGTTACTCTGGCCATCCAAGGTATTTGTAACATTCGTCTCAGAAACCACATCTCTGTTGCTTCCAAATTCTTCTTAATTTGTGCAATCCCCCCACACTTCTCTAATTACACAGATGAGAAAAAAGCACTGGAAGAAATCTATTACTCAGAATGCAGCTCTAAGTGGAAAGGATGTATTTTTCAGTAGCTCGCAAAAATTGCAAACAATAGTTCACTTACCTAATGTACAATCGGGGTGGAAAGGATCCATTGTTGCTTCATTTAGCAATATCATAAAGGCCGTATCTTTTATGGAGCGGCCTTGATCTATCAGCAAGACGCTTGCCTGTGGATCAGAAGGTAGCAGGTTGGGGCTCTGATGGGGCAGGACTTTTTAAAGAAATGATCTTGGCTCACGGGTCGACTCAGCCTTGAGTGGGTACCAGGTACATACCTGTGAAATAAAGGCGACCGGCTAGATGCTGGTCACATCAACCATCGATGGCCGTTTGGTCTGTAAAATATAGGTCTAGATCAATATACACAATACGCCTGAAGGCGCGAAAAAGGATCTTTACTTTTAGGGTCCTTATCTTTTAGCTTAGCTCCCAAACTCCCCCTTTCTTTCAAAGAGTCCTTAGTATAAAATGAATCTTGGCAACTGGCAAATCTAGCAGCAACCACATGTCAGTGACAGTTTGTTAGTTCATTGTGGTTTCACTCGGCAATGGTAACGTTCGTTAGTTTGCCACTGGGACTCAACGGTCGTCTCTTGATACGACTATCGAAACCAACTCAAGGCGGTCTGCTGCCAAATAGTTGGGATCTAGGATTGAACTTGGTATATTAGAATTACAATGGGCGTTCTCAACGCCTAAGCCGCAGACTTGCTAGTATGTCAGGCAGGTCAAATGCAGAAAAGTGCAGTTGAATCATCATCATCATCATGTGCCCTGTCAGTTGGCATTGAAGCTCAGGCATCTTCACAGATTACGATTCCTGGTTGCCTGGAACAGTTCTCTTTATGATAACTTTCCATACCATCTTTTCAGCCCATCCTGCATCATCTTTCTACCCCTTTTCCCACTGATCTTTCCAGTTGTAGTGATGTTTTCTAATGCCTCTCTTCTCATTAGTTGGCCAATAAACCGTCTTATTCTCCTTCGTATTGTTGCGTATAGAGATCTACTTCCATTAGCTTTTTTTTTTTAAACAATCATTGTTAGTTACTCTGGGCGTTCAAGGTATTTGTAACATTCATCTCAGGAATCACATTTCAGTTGCTTCCATATTCTACCTAATTTGTTCACTGACATTCAAAGATTCGCTGCTGTACAGCGGAACAGGTTCTATTTAATATTTTAGCACTTTCTTTCTAATATTAAATGAGAGCGACTTATTGCATAAGATCTTTTTCCTTTTCTGAAATGCTGACTTTACTTGACCTTATTCTGCTTTTAATCTCTGTCATACAGTTTCCAACAGATGATATGATTGTTCCTACCAGTCTAGCCACCATTTAAATTTATTATAATGCAGAACTGAACTGTGTGAATACCAAGTCAACCAAGCTACTGGCGGGTTATTTAGTAGACTAAAACAGTCTTTTCTACGCCTTATTGGCTATTAGGCTTATAGGGCTAGACCTATATTTCATAGACCAGTTTGAACTAAGATGGTGATGTGGTCACAATCACACAGGTCGCTTTAATTTCCCAGGACTTTAACTGGTCCCATTTAAGGCTGGGCCGAGTAGAGGATACGGTCATTTTTTTAGGGATAATGTCTAGCTCTGTCACAACCTGAACCCACTACCTTCGGATCCGTAGGCGAGCGTCTAGCCGCTACATCAAGACGGCTCTCGATATGTTAGTAGACAGTGTCTGTTTAATAGTTATTTTAGCGTATGTTTTTTTTTGGCACAATAATAATTTCTTCTTCTTCTTCTTTTTCTTCTTCTTCTTCTTCTTCTTCTTCTTCTTCTTTTTCTTCTTTTTCTTCTTCTTCTTCTTCTTCTTCTTCTTCTTCTTCTTCTTCTTCTTCTTCTTCTTCTTCTTCTTCTTCTTCTTCTTCTTCTTCTTCTTTTTCTTCTTCTTCTTCTTCTTCTTCTTTTCTTTTTCTTTTACTTCATCATCATCATTATAGTCTTTTTCTGGTTCTTTTTGTTCTTGTTCTTGTTCTTCTTCTTCGTTTGCTTGAAAAAGATTAAAAATGCAATGCTGTCTCTCATATGAAATCACTGTCTGTTGTAATTCAATCAGCGACCTGTAAAGTTTGGCATGGACCGTTGTTTCTCGCGGCCAAGAGTGTTTTCCCTTGAACGTTTTACCTGGGACAGTCTTAATAATAGTAGTCATTTAGAGTATGAATTGGCCACGTCGGTGGCGTAGGAATTTTTAACCCAGTTGTCAGCTTTGACACACAAGGGTTCAAAATCTCCCCTCTCCCTCCCTCCTCGACCCAGACGATTTGGGGGCTGACAGATTACTGTTAATTCCGACAATGTTATAGAGTAAAATCTTCAGAAATCAATGACAGATTACCCAGAGTAAGATTGCCTAGTAAAACTACAAAATACCAGTAAATGACGAGTCTGATTTGCGGTGCGTCGGAAATGACATTATTACAGCTATTTTTAAGAAGAAGATTTACATAGTTATAAATGGGAGGGAGAACCGGGTTAGGTGAAGAAGAAATCGGGAGAATTTGGGTATAAGAAAGAATATTTTGATGTTTAGCAGAGGTTCCCGTGGAGGATAATAGTTTTAATTTGAAAGTAAATGTTTGTTGTAGGTTCACACAGCAAAAGTCAGCATCGATAATTCAGGGCTAAGGAAAAAAAAAAGAATCAATTACCGCTGAACGTTAGAACTAATCACAAGAAAATATAAGTCTCTTCAAATAGTCTAGTCTAGTGATAAAGAATGTCAAATACATCTAGTTTTTCAAACTGTCACGTATTTTAACATGTCATTTTGGACAAAAGAATAGCTAGTGACAATATTAACTTAGATCAAGACTCAAACGTCAACGTTTTTGAAAATATAATTTAACTGTAAAATTGTAAATTCTAAATTCGTCAAAATCTTGAAAAATGTCGGACATCTTTTGGAAGGTGCAGGTCATCATAGTGTATCATTTACTCCTAAAGAACGCAGGCTTTTCTGTATTTGAATATTTGAATTTCTTCGTCTTTTTAAGCTTTCGCTTTTAGTTAAGCCTAAAAATTCTTGCTTCAAGATTTTGTTATCAAAACATCTCTATTTGTTTGCATTACGCAAGCAGCTTTGGAGGGAGGAAAAAACAGTACATCGTGGCAACAGCTAATCAAACTGTTGTTGCAAATTACTAGCTAGAGTTGCTGTTTTTTAATATAAGCATCGAATATTTATTCTGGCATCCTTAGGAGTTAACGAATAATTCTAAAGAAAGCTGACCTGCTAGTTAAACCGGGAAATATACCGTATCATGCATAACACTACATATACGATCTTTTTTGACGGCATTATTAGTCGATACGATTATTATGTTATTGCAACATTTCTCCCTGTCTCATGGACATTATTATCGCTGTGTGGAATAGTTTGTAACGTCATCAACATCATAACCTTTGTGGCTATGGGACTCAATGATGGCGTCACTGTTTCTTTCCTTGCTTTAACCATCTTTGACTTGACCTATGTGAACGCGTCGTTTTGTATTGGAATCGCTTCATGTTTCAGTCTCACTGAAAGAATATCCACAGTCTTGTTCCCAGTAGAGCCATATGGAGTAGTGGTGCTTCTTGCTAACATTATGATAATGCTTGCTGTCACAAATGTGTTAACAACAACCTTTCTAGCAGTTGCCCGTTGTATGTGTGTAGCCAAACCTCTACACTTTAAAAATTACTTTACCGTGAAGAGAACTGTATACTTCATGTCAGGATTTGCCATATTTGCCGTGACTGTCTACACTCCACTTCTTGCTAACATGGCGATGGTTACTATGCTTGATGCAAGAATTAATATGTCCAGACCAACTCTGTGGATGTCGAAATACAGAGAACCTATAAAGAATGTGGTTTTTGTGATAACAGACATGATCTTGCCTGTGTCTTCACAGTTCATCGTTCTCACTTGTATCATTATCATGGCTAGCAGTCTCCGTGCCTCTTCCAGGTTCAGACAGAAGACAAAAATACAAACGAGTGACCAAAAAAAGCTTCAGATAACTTCTGAACTTCAAGATAAAGGGACGGCAAATGCCAATATCACAGACAAGCTCTCTGGCAAAGAGCTTCGCGTGGTTACTCAGGTCACTCTTATCTCTGTGGTATATGTCGCATGTAACACACCAAGGATCCTTATAATCGCAGCTGCCCTCTTTGAGCCAGAATTTAAACTTGGGAGACAATTTCATTACTTTTATATCAGCCTCAATGGTTTTAGAAAACATTTGGAAATAATCAACGCTTCAGTTAATACTTTAATTTACTTTAACTATAATAGCAAATTTCGAGCAATAATGCTCAAAAGAATTAAATCAACGCAGTCGTAATATTTTTGACTGTGTAACAACATTGAGTTTATACATTGAGACAAATATCAGAGAGGGCAATAGAACATGATAAGACATGTTTGTTGACATTCATAGACCAAGAAAAAGCCTTTGATAGAGTCGACAGGAATATGTTGTGGGAATGTATCGAAAAAAAAGGAATCAGCAAAGATTTTATTATTATTTTATTATTTTATTATTTTGCAAAAGCCTGTACACAAGTAGTAAATGCTGCATAAGATCGAAGGCAGGGTTGTCAAGAACTTTTATAGTGAACTCTGGTGTGCGTCAGGGCTGTGTACTTCTTTTTTATAACATACATGGATACCATATGTAGCGAAACGAACTTTAATCATGAAGAAGATATTACAGAATTACTTTTCGCCGACGACCAGGTACTCATAGCAGAAAATACGGAATGCAGACAGAGCCATCTAAATCAAATTAGTAACAAAGGGGAGGAATATAGTATGAAAATAAACACTACGAAGACAGAGACAATGATGATAGGAAGACATAAAGACAATTTAGAAATTAAATTAAAAAACAACACCCTAAGACGAACAGAGGAATTTCAGTATTTGGGAGCAATTTTTATATCAGACGGAAAACTGGACAGATAAATTAGCTCCAGATGGGCCAAAGCTAATCAAGTAATGGGTCAACTATCTCCCCTGTTGACACACAAGCAGATACCTCGGAGTACTAAAGTGAATCTTATCAGAACTATTTTTTGGCCAACACTATGCTATCAATGCCAAACGTGGACACTTACATCCTCCAATGAACGTCAAATTGTGACAACAGAGATGAAATGCCTTAGAAGAGCAGGAGTTTCAAGGACAGACAGAATACGAAATCATGAAATTAGTCGAATGCTAGGAATAAAGCCAGTCTTACAGGTTATCAAAGAACAACAAATTAAGTGGTTTGGACACCTAACAAGAATGCCCTGGTACTATCCGCCACAGCGAGCCACACTAAAACGTTACAACGGGCATAGAGCGAGTGGAAGACCTCGGAAAATATGGAGGGATGGCATTAAGAACAGCCTTACAGAAATGAACATCAATCTTAATAGTGCTTTTGACAAAGCTCATCAACAAACATTATCTCCCCCCGACACTTCGATGAGGTACAAGGTGGAAGAGAAGAAGAAGAAGTAACAACATTATTTGAGAAGCATTTTGTATTGAGAGTTTGCACATTGCTAGACACAAATGGAAAAACTACATATGGTGTCCCCGTGTACAAGAAAACGCGATACACAAAGCACAGGTAGTTACATGTTGGTGCTGCGGTGAGAGGGGGGAATAGACCTCGATAAATCCTTTCTTGATAAGAAAGTGAACGTTAGACAGTTGGTAAAGTAAAAAAATAAAAACATGTGACCCTCTTCCACGTCTTTAGGTCATATAGGGCTAGACCAATATTTTATAGACCAATCGGCACAAGATGGTTGGTGTGGTCAGCATCACACCGGCCGCCTTTACTTTCCGGGAATGCATTCGGTACCCGCTCAAGGCTGGGTCGACGCGGGAACCAAAGTCATTTTTAAAATGTCCGGCTTCGCCAGGGAGCGAACCCACGACCTTCCGATTAACGGGAAGCGTCTAGCTTTCCGCCACGGCAACTCCCATGGACAGTTGGTAGATTAGTGAAAATGTGTTTATAAGCTGTGTAGATGTGGCTTTATAGACGAATGATTAGAACACCCCAAAACAGGGAAAAAAAACAGAGTAATGAGTATGTCTTGAAAGAAACTGACTCACAAAGACTACTGATTGCCTACATCAGAGAGAGCCGGTCTGGACGTGATAAGTCATGTGATAAGTCATGTGATAAGGGAGAAAACTGGAGTTTATCGTGACGGTAGAAAAGTTGGAGGTGAGGCGAGGCAGAGGGAGACCGAGAGAAGAGATGCTGGACAGTTTACATCATGGCATGGAGACTCGTCTGTGTCAGAGTTGATTCAAAAAGAAATGCGTAGCTACTGTAAAGAATATACATAATCAAAAGTTGACACACTCAATCTCTGTAATGTAGTAACTGACATCTCCTAAGCATGGATGAGATCAGATTTATGATTTGGGCCTGTGGGATGGCTGCCTACTCTTCCAGGAGTTCTGGAACAGATCGCGACCATTTAATGGAACAAAGTCTCGGCGACAAACACGTCTTTGCATCTTATCCCACATGTGCTCAGTCGGTCTCATATCTGCAGACAGGCCAGGGAATGTCCCTGGGATGGTCAGGGAAGGGTTTGAATGGTATTGGCTGCCAAGAACAACGTCGTCAACAGTGCAGATTTGGGTCTGGCGTTGTCCTGTTGAAAAAAGGTATTGGTTGGCATCCGAAAACGGAAGGACATATGGTCGAATAATTTCATTCACTTATCGTTGCTTATTCAAACGTTCTTCCATGCGCACAGGCTGACTTCTTCCGCGGTAACTGATCCTTCCCTACACCATTACATCTTCACCACCGTGCAGCAGAGCTTCATCAATACAGTTTTGGGCTAAACCATAATTTCGCCTATGGTAGATCCTACGCCGTCTAACATGACGCTGCAACATAAATAGGGATTCGTCACTGAACTAGATACGTCTCCATTGATTGTCACCGACTCAGAGACGACGCTGGTTGGCCCAAACATGTCGATTTTGGCAGTGGTGACGCGTCAGGACATGTCCTCAATGTGGTCATCGTGCCCAAAGTCCAACGTCATGCCGTCTGTTCCGAACATTTTGATCAGAAATATGACGTTCTGGAGTCAATGCCTGCGCAGTTGAGGGAGCTGTTGTAAACCTGTCTCTGAGGTGACGAGGCCAAATAAAACTATTCTCCGCTGCTGTTGTTACTCTGGGTAGTTTACTGCTATGTCGGTCTTTAACTAATCCAGTGGCTTGGAACCGGTGCCAAAGTCGACTGATGGTACTCTAATGAACGTTCAGATGCCTGGCGACACGACTTTGACTTTCTCCTACCTGCAATGGGTCAACAGCAATATTCCTTAAATTTATCAATAGAAGCGTCATTCGTGGCTCCCTGAAATGGAACTGAACCTTTCGGTGTGAGGTAATGTTTTTGAAGGTTTTAGTTGCGAAAGCAGTGAAAAGTGTTCACTGCAAATTGTGTTGCTTTCTCGTGCGCGCACCATGAGCTATGCTCACGAATATGGTCTCAAACACAACTGACCACTGAATTGCAACGGTTACAAAAACTAATACAATTCAATTCACGCCCACATGTCCCCTGAACACAGTAAACAATATTTGAGTCTGCTTTTCAATATCCGAGTGCGAAATGTTTTTTTTTTTACAAACTAATTTAAAACGCGCCATCGGATAACTATGCGTTTCTTTCTTTATTAATTATGTTTTGTGTGTGAACAGTTTATATATATACAGTTAGAAACGATAGCAACTCATTTGTTTGCCTATGGTTCAAATCTCTGATAGAGAGACTGAGTGGTCTCGAGGCATGGCGTCCGCCTCGAGTGCTGGAGGTCCCGGGTTCAGGCTCCTGTAGAGGCTGGGATTTTTTTACGTAGACTTGTAGTCCTGTTCTGCTGCTTTTGCTTATCGAAAGACGTTATCGTAACCACAGCAGGTACTGAGGAGTATGGCGATCGTGGCTGCGGTAACAAATTAATAGCCTACATGCATGTCACTGTACTTCTCGAGCTTTTACATGTTGCTTTTGTCCATTCGCGACTCATACGGCACGGTCAGCTCGATTAGGATGAGCTGACGTTTTTCCACAGAGTGTAGGACTATGTCAGGTCGCAGGCCAGTCTTCCGGATTAACTCAGGGTATTTTTTGTGACCAGGCAGGTCAACCGCCAGTAACCAGTTGCTCGCACAGTCAAGCATCGATGGAGCGTATCCACTGGTCTCCAAACTCGACGTCCTTATAAAACACACCTGTTAAATAATATCTTTGGCTTGACCCTTGCACTACTTCCCTTATTATTTTTTTAACCTGCTTTTAATTATATGATTAATTACACAATGTATTGTATGTGTGTGTTTGTTTGTGTGTGTTTGTGAGTATGTGTGAGTATGTGTGTGTATTTTTGTGTTTTTGTGTGTGTATGTTTGTTTGTATGTGTGTGTTTGTGCGTGTGTGTGTTTGTGTGTGTTTGTGTGTGTGTTTGTGTGTGTGCACGTTGAATCTGGACGAGGGGCGTACTGGGCACATTTATTTTCTGTCCACATCTTTTGGGACACCAACTTGAAGATGTAGAGGGGCTGAAGTGTTCCAATGACCATAACAGCGATGCCGAAGGCAGCTTAGCTTCTGACGTGTCTCCCATGTCGCACACTTTAAAGGAAAGAAGCCAGACGGAAAAAAAAACACAGCATTATTTCTTGATGCCACTAATTAAATTATGTCAGTTTGGCAACAAGCAACGGAATCAGTAGAGAAAGAATATTATTATGGCCTGGAGAGAATGAGGCACCTGGGTGTAACCAGAGGGTCTGGCCGGCTCACTACACTCAGAGGAAAGACGGACTTTTCATCAGATTGTGACCGGTACCATCAGTATTGGAACTCTGCGCTGGTTGCTGAAGATTAGGACGGAGCATGCATGGGAATGCTTCGAGTGCTGTTATGTCAATTCTTAACTCAGCTCAACACAATATGTCGAAATAAGGCTAATATTGTCGAGGCCAGCCAAGCAGAGATAGTGCCGGGCCCCCTGCCTCGAAGGGGCCTACCCAACACTACTGGTGAGCACGTACTTCTGTGCTGTGGAGTCAAGGTACAGGGCATTAGAGTAGAAACTATTGACCAACCACACAGGACACTAAACATACTATAGTGGAACGCCAAAAAAGTCTTTAAAAAAGTCTCCACCAAAACGCCTTTATAAAGACAACATTCATGTGGCCTGCTTCCATGAGACACACTTCAATGCCCATTACAGATTTCAGATGTTATCAAGCTGTGCGCTACGACAGAGAGGGGCACAATGGAGGAGATCTATACCTATC